AACAACCCTAGGTACAGGCTAGGCAGAAACTGCCCTTCTTGCTTACAAAGCACAATACTCTAACTATTCAAAAAGGATATGGTCCATGCCACATAGTTTGTATTGTTTACGAGATAAGGATAGATGTTAGGTTCAAAATTCAGAGATGAAAATTGCTGCTAACAAAAGCAAGCGTCAGATAGCATCTCCTAAGGCCCGGCCTAGACAGGTCCTCACCAGAGTTCAGTTCATTTCCCCTGGTGGGACAGTGTCCTTACTGGTTTCCTACGCTCTGTGAAACAGTTATTCTCATTGGTGGCTGCTTAGAAATGAACTTTGGCTCAGCAGGTCATAATTTGGGGGTTCCAGAGGAGCTGACAATTTAAAGCTTGGAGTAACTATCATAAAAATAAGATTATTAACATTGGATTTTCTTTGGCCCACATTTATACAAAATAACTATTTTTTTTAAGACTGTAACTGAGGGGCAATAGCACCTGAAAGCAATCGTCACATCTCCCTTCCCGGCTTCTATGACAGAAACCTCATGCTTCTGGCTACATTATTTATTACATTATTTATAACACAAATTGATCTAAACTTGTCACCATTAGTCAGGCATCTCAATGCCGTAACTAATTCACTGGACAAAGGTCTGTTATTTGATGTTTTCATAGACTGGGGTTTTGAAAAGAAACCTGGCTCTAGAAAAATGCCTAAGAACCCACAGGGATGACCCCAGCTAAGACCCTAAGCAATAGAGGAGAGGGTGTCTGAACTGGCCTTACTCTGTAGTCGGACTGATGATTATCTTAAATATCACCATAGAACCTTCATCCAACAGCAGATGGAAACAGAGACAATGGCCCACATTGGAGCACTGGACTGAGCTCCCAAGATCCAGCTGAAGAGTGGAAGGAGTGAGAGTATGAGCAAGGAAGTCAGGACCATGAGGGGTTCATCCACTGAGGCAGTTTGCCTGAGCTAATGGGAGCTCACCAACTCCAACTGGACTGCGAGTGAACGAACATGGGAACAAACTAGTCCCTCTGAAGGGGTTTGACAGGGCAGACTGAGGGGCCACTGATAGTGACACTGGGATTTGTCTGTACTGCATGTACTGACTTTTTGGGATCCTATTCTCTTTGAATGTTTACCTTGCTCAACCTAGATATAGTAGAGAGGGCCCTGGACTTTCCACAGGGCAGGGTGCATTGCTCTCTCTCAGGATTGGAGAGGGGTAGGTGTGAGGGTCTGTGGAGGAAGTGGGAGAGAGTGAGAATATGGATTGGTATTTTTTTAGGTAATAAAATAATAATAATAATAAAAGAAAACTCCTACATCAGTGGTTCTTGCCCTGTGGATTGTGACCTGTGGAGGCTTATCTAGTGACCATCTTACAGGGGTCACCTAAGGCCATTGGAAAACACAGGTATTTACATTATAATTCATAATAGAAGCAAAATTACAGCTATGAAGTTGTAACAAAAAATAATTGTATAGTTGGGACTTACCACAACATGAGGAACTGTATTAAAGGGTTGCAGCATTAGGAAGGCTGAGAATCACTCTCCCACACGGTGAGCAAATTCACAGTGAATGTACCTGACTATGCCTGAACGCTCCGAGAAACAGAAACACAGGCAAAACCAGACAAATTACATGCTGAAATGTTATGATCAAGATGTCATTTCAGGGCCAAAAGAATCAGAGACCCAAGATAAAAGCCTGGGAGGTTGTTACATTTGTCCCCAGGAATTAAGACAAAAGTGTCTTTATTTCATCTCGGTGAGAACAAGCCATTGGCCTTTATGAGAAAGCCACCTTGCCTGCATTGCCTCAGGCTCCAGGGATCTCTACAGTGTTGGGAAACTCCACAAACATTCATTAAAGAGGTGCATTGCATGGCGAAGCAAATTGGGGGATCTAGGGACAGGATGGAGGTCTCGGTGTTCTAGGCTCTCATTTCATTCCGTAGTTTTTCCTCTTCGTTCACCCTTGGGAATTCATCTTAACTCCCAGCGCAGTGACCACATGAGCACCATACCTCCATCCCTCTGCTGGGCTAACTTGACCCAGCTCAGGTCTCTGTGCACAAGGCCCAGGTTAGCCTCTTGCTCTGGTCCAGCGAGGAGAGGTAGATATTGGAGGCAAATGGCCCTGGCTGCAGGGACCAGCGCTGCAGCAGATTAGGGCTCTCCCGGGAGGAGGGGCTTCTTCACTTCCTCCCATTATGTATCCCAGGGGGTCAGCCTGGTGGAGAAGCTTCCCACGGGACCAAACGGTAAACACAAAGTGAAAGAAATGATCGTTCTCCCGAGGAATTCTCCGCCTCAGGTTCCCACTCACGGTGGTTGCCTCCATGTCCCTCCTTCACACCCAGAAATGCCAAAACACTGAGCTCACGCTTCAGGATAGGGTGGGCAGAGGGACCTGGCTCTAAGGGCGTGTCTGAAATCTCATTTACCCGGCAGGAGTCTCCTGCAAATTTCTTCTCTTATCTCTTTGTCATCTGCAAATGAAAGGATCCCTAATGAAAGACCCTGTGGGGAGGACAAGGGTGCAGAGTTTGCAGATTCTGGCTTAACACCTGTGGAGAGTACCAGAACTCTTCCCCTCCTTGTGACAAAATACAATATTTTGTCAATACGGGGACTGCACTCATTTTCATTCGGAAGATGTCAGAACGAAACCCATCGCTCTACACACACTAACTGAAAAAACAAAAAAACAGAAACGTGTGTCCCAGATCTGATTTTCTGAGCATCTGATTAAAACTCAATAGGTACTTCCAGCGGGGTTGAACTGGGGTCAGCTTATGACTCCGCTGAGTACCAGTCAAGAGCTGCACTACGGCTTTAGAAACAAGGCATGTTTTATTTATAATGGGATATGACAAGGTTACATAGTAGTAAATTCACAGTAGTGATTTATCTTTTGTGATGTAACAAGATCCATAAAGAGCAAACACTACCCAGAAATACTTTAGGCCATTTTATAACCATTGAGGTCTCCACTGCAGGACTCTTTAAATTATCATCCAGGACATTCCTGTCAATTTCCATAACTAATCATCGGTTGTTTCTTCTAAAAGTTACAATAATAAATGCACAGAGGCTTCCAGGAAAGTGAACCTTAAACAGTAACCCCCATAGAGCGTGCCCTTTCTTTCTTGCTTGCTGTTTGCAGGTCACAGAGGTCCTAATGCAAGAACAAATTTAATGGGCATGCCTGCAGGCTGACAACAGGCTCCCACAGACATCCCCTCGGTGAGAGGTCGGTTAAAGGGATAAAGGAGAATATAGACAAGGAACCACCTTAGAGCTGGGGGCTCTGAGGAACTTTCTGAAGAGATGTAGACCCTCACAGGCTCAGTCATACACACATGTACACATGAGACATGCACTGATTTGTCACTGGTCACATGAATGTCATGACAGACAATTGGCAAACATGATTACCTGGCAACACACGCTCAGAGAAATACAGGCGGAAACCAGCCCTCCCCTTGCCTGATTTGCACCTACACGTAGGGAGTCTTACACAGCAGGGCCAGGGTTGACAAGAGTAAACCAGGGTCTTCGCGTCATTGTTTCCCTGGGTCATTGGTTGGCAAGGAGGAGTGGGCAGGCAATGTCTAGAGTTCAATACGTTGATAGATGCTTACAGACAGAGCTCTGTACTGGCTAGTTTTATGTCAACTGGACACAAACTAGTTATTAGAGTGGAGGGAGCCTCAATTGAGACATGCCTCCACAAGATCTGTCTGAAGGCATTTTCTTTTTTTAAAAAAAATATTTATTTATTTATTATGTATACAATATTCTGTCTGTGTGTATGCCTGCAGGCCAGAAGAGGGCACCAGATCTCATTACAGATGGTTGTGAGCCACCATGTGGTTGCTGGGAATTGAACTCAGGACCTTTGGAAGAGCAGGCAATGCTCTTAACCTCAGAGCCATCTCTCCAACCCCGAAGGCATTTTCTTAAATGGTGATCCATGAAGGAGGTTCCAGCCCATTTGTGGCTGGTGGTCCTGGGTTCAATAAGAAAGCAGGCTGAGCAAGCCATGAGGAGTAAGCCAGCCGCCAGTAAGCAGTACTCCTCCACGGCCTCTGCATCAGTTCCTGCCTCCAGGTTCCTGCCATGCTTGAGTTCCAGTCCTGATTTCCTTTGATGACGACATGTGATATGAAAGCTTTAGCACAATAAACCCTTTCCTCCCCAAGTGCTTTTGGTCATAGTGTTTCATCACTGCAATAGTAGTAACCCTAAGAAAGCTGTTACATTTAAGACATGCACCCAAGAAGATGGCATAGAAAGGAGACTGACCACCACCACTCAAGGTGTGGCAAGAGTGAGCACCGTAAGCCTTTGTAAGACTCAGCATAATGGCCATGCCCCATTCTTTAGAAAGGCGTCCCATGCTCCTAACAATGAATTGCAATGAGACAAACATACATGAGCTGGCCATTGACTTCACACTCTCTGCTGTAAAGAACCTGTCTTCTTGCAGATCTCAAAAGGGAGATCAGAGGGAGAAAGGGAAGCTGCTATTGTCAGGAGGTGGCAGGGGATGGCTAAGCATTTCCTCTGGGGCTTACTTTGTGAACTTTGGCCAAAAGATCTTGACTCTGTGGATAACCTAAGGATGAATGAGCCTTATAACTTTAAAATCAATTCTAATTCCCACAGTGCAGACTTTTTGACTGCACATAGTCAGTTCATGGACTATTAAAGACTGCCCCCCCTTTTTATAGCACACACTTTTGAACAAAAGTTGTCTACTTTTGTAGATAACTGAAAATCACCGGGGGAAAGACAGCCACAGCAAACCCACACTTGGCACTGAGTTCTTTCACACTTAGTGTTAGAATTTTAATAACTTAAGTTGAAAGTTATAGGGGGAAAGAATCTATAAACATTTAAGCTAATGGAATCCTGTGTACTCTAAACAGGATCATGCATCCTGCTCGCTTTAGGGCACCGTTTACATCCTTTAAAAAGAACAGGCTGTGGGGCTCCAAGAAATGAACTAAAAATTTATTGTCTTTAATCGTGTGATGCAGCTTTCTGCATCTTTCCGCGGCTTTTATCCAAACGATCATTCACATGGTCCCACTTCGCTAGTAACTCAAGCTGTTGAGATGCAAGAGCACAAGGGCCTAATTTGCCTTTGATTTTTGTTTCTCCTTCGGGAAGGAATCGATGCAAACTTCGCGTTTTGAAAAAAAGAATCGATATTCAATTTACAACCAAAACAATAATTTCAGGAAGTCTGAAATTCTACTATGCAAAGAGTCATAAAGGGAGAGGGGGCAGGAGAGAAAATAAATTAATTCCTTAATTTAAACCTTTCTTACCCTGCTGCAAATGCACATACCAATACCACGGCTCCAACTTACCCCTCTGAGAGCCAGGATCTAAGACAGCATTGGGAGCACAGTATTTTAAGCACTGATGAGCAGTGATACATTTAACTCCACGTTCTGTACATTTATGGCACTTAGAGCCACACGGTATTCGTGGCCGAGCAGCTAGCCTGTGACATTACCCTCCATACACAGCCAGTCTCTCACAGACTGCCCACCCCTTACCTTACCTCCTAAAATATTCCTGAGAAAGACATCACAAGGAACTTCCAGTCAGAAGGGACCTAATGGGAAAAACTAAGACCAAAGCACCATGGTTCCACTCTGTGTATCCTAAACAGAGCCGTTCTACTAACACGGGGTCTCCTGGCTCTATGCCTTGCCCATGTGATTCCCTTTCCTTCCCCAACACACCTTCCTGAGCTAAAAGTTGGTGAGTGAAGAATGTTTGCTTTTCTAAGTACAGATATATTATAAATATCCCAAGCCAATTTTGACCTTTTTTTTTTTTAAAAAAAAATGACAGATAAAATAGTGTGATTTACCAAGTGCATAAACAGGAAGGGACACATGCAGGGACAAGGGGCATGGTGACAGTGTTCTCCTTCCCTGAAACCAGATCCCTGAAGCCAGGAAAGCAAAGAGTGAATACTTGGGGAATCATTGCTTCAGATACAGGAAGGCAAACAGAGACCGAGACACCCCACTTTAAGGTTTCAGGACATGGCTCCGTGGGCATTCCCCGGCACAGGGTTCTGCCAGGAGGCACCTACGTCTACAAAGAGGATATTGAGGGACAGTCCCCTGAAACCAGTTACAAAACTAGCTGACAGAAGAGGCCTCCCGGACTGCAATGCTGACCACCCCCCACTCTCCCTTTTCCCAGCACCCCCTTTCCCTTTCTCTTCCTGACCAATAATTAAGGGCAGAGTACCCCTTTCCTTGCAGTACATTGCACAGTGATGGTGGTCACAAACCACAGAGGTGGGACAGCAGCAGGTACCAGCGTGTGGGCATTGTCTGGTCTCCTGTGATAGGGCAGCTTGGCACATGAGCTTTGTGAGTACCCGTCTCCCTGGGAAAGTGGATGGTGCCAAGGGGCACCTGCCAACTGGGAGTCACAGTGTTGGTCTCTCCTGGTTTGGGAGAAGCAGGGCTAAGGAAGCAGGGGCTCTTGTTGCAGCCTAAGGGGGCTCTGCAGCCAAATGGCTCCCCTGGGTCATACCCTACTTCTGAAAAAGACTCTGCAGGAGAGGCTAAGGCTGTGCAAAGAGTTTGTGGACACCCTGGAAAAGCTCTGGAGGGCAGAGGTAGCCTCCAGGGCCGCTCACCAGGTGGGGCTGTGGTCTGGGGTGCTCAACACGGGCTACAGTGGAGTTCAGGTGGTCAATCCCAGGCTTAGGGAAAGGCTACCTGCCTCAGGCCTATTAGAGGAACAGGGCCAGAAACAGGGCAGGTAGCTCTCTCCATCTGGAAAAGAGAAAGCCAATCACCGAGCAGCTGCAACCCGGCAGTGCACGGTTTACGTTAGGCTCTTTCTCTGCAGAATTTAAGGCAACAAAGAACAGATGCTGGTGGGTGGGTACTTCCCGGACTGCCCACCCCTCCCCAGGACGGTGTAGTGATATGGATAATTACATGCGCAAACACACGTGTGGATGTGCAGTTTCCTGAAGCAGGACAAACTGAGTACCCTAGAACGTATGAAGGGGTCGGCCAGAAGTACAGGGGGACATGGTAGCGGGGCGACAGGCAGGGACCAGTAAGGCGAGGCTCCCAAGGACACAGCAGCTCCGCTTTGGTTTACAGCTGTCACAGGAACTCCGGGGAACAGTTTCTTCAGAAGTCCCATCTATTAACGTCAGACGCCACCAGTCGCTGTCGGGGTGGACATCTGCTTCCTTCCAAATAAAGTGCAGATGGTCGAAGGATACTGGTCTATCATCTGCCAGCTTCAGTCAGCATTGAAAAATTAAAAAAAAAAAATCTTTATAAAAGGACCCCCCCCCCCCAGGACATATATATCTCTATATATTCTTCTTTTGTTTCTCATAAAGCCACAAATATAGACCTTTCAAACCGACGTCTCGGACTGTAAGCGGAGAACAAACTTGTGAGATTTGGGGTCTATGAACTCTTCAGAGAGTACGATGAACGGAATTTTCTTCACATTGACTACGAGGCTGAAGTCCAAGCATTTAAGGACGAAAACGATTCCATCCCGTAACCCGTTCGTCACGGCTTCGTCACTAATAAGTCTCCACTGTGTTGAGAGCCAGCGGTCCTTGTCATACTGCAAGGTGGGACCCGCGCTGAGGTATCGCTCAAGGAAAGCCTGAAAGGCAAAGAAAAGCATTAGGGAACTAACAAGGGCGGCTACGCCATGCGGCCAGGGGTCATCTTATTTATTCCTAGGAAATATTAGTTACACAGAGACCCTCAGCCAGAGTTTGGTTTCTCAGGCTGAAGCCCCGAGAGACCTTCTCTGGGAGAAGGAAGACTTCTTGGGCTTCCCCATAGGTTTTGTTTGCTTGTTTGTTTTTGTTTTTTGTTTTGTTTTGTTTGTTTGCTTTGGCAATTTGCACCCGGAGGATGAGGCAAGAGAAGTGGAGTAGCTACTGTTGTTGGTCAGAAGGCACTTCTAAGGTGACAAGTCACCTGAAGACACAGGCGCCACTGGACACGCTCTTCCACCTCCCCCGCTAAAACAAAAGATCCTCGAGGGCAGGTCAAGTGCCTGGTACAGAAGAAAAGTCAGTGACTCCAAGACAGAGAGACAAGAACAACCACACAGACAAAACTGCCTGCTCTATCACTTGCTGGCTGTGACTTTGCTCGGTCATTCGCCCTCGGTCTGGGTGGAGACGACACTACCTCACTCCCTGGGCTACCACGAGGTGGGAAGGTTCAATACTCACAAAGTACCCACAGTTCCCGCTGGAGCTCAATTGGCACACAGTGACTGGCGGTTAGGACCGAACCCACGAGGCCAGTTATAGGGACAGGCAGACCAATGTCCCCTCCCCTCTTCTGAGCTCTTGCTCCAGGGACACGAAGCTAACTGAAGTCCTCTGCTTCTAGTAAATCCTCCCATGTGCCATTCCTCCTTGCCCTTCACACCTTAAACTATTTTCTTGACCCTTTCAGATGGATTGACACGCTCTGCTGTCAAGGCTCCTGAAATGACTGGGATGATCCCGTGCCATAGTTTACTTTCTGAACCTATGACCAACTTGCTGTCTCCTCCCAACCCAGCTCCCTGCTCGTAGAGGGCAAGACCTACATCAACACTGTTCTCTTCTTTTTAAAGTGTGACTTTCTGGTCCATCTGGCACAGAATTAAATACACAAGTCAGTTCAGTTGAGAGAAAGAATGAGCCAATAATATAAATTGAAAAATACTGGCATGCATCCATCTGGTCCTAGGCCGAGGTCAAGACGTTTTCAGTTTTCAAGCAATCCTCTTTCGTAACTCCTCTACCCCAGTGTGCACTGCAAGCAGCCGTAGCCATAGTGATAGGTACACAAGGAGGTGTGGCTGTGTTCCAGTGAAATCGGAGTCACAGAAACAGCCAAGCCCTGGCTTTGACTCAGGAAACTCAATTCAAATGTGCCTCAGCAGACAAGCGGCTAAGCAAATCTGCGGATCTGGCAGAATCAGACCCAGCTCTTCACAGGGAGCGAGTCGGAGCTGTGTGAAAGGGGTTTACAGGGTATTGAAAAGAAGATCCAAGAAGCCTTGAGTGGAGAAAGCGGGTTTCCAAAGTACGAACACGGATCAAAGCATTTCCACCCTACACACTAGAATACACACCAGCTCTCATCAGTGAGACGTGGAGGAGTGGAGGGAGACAGGGCTTTTATTCCTCAAAAAAAAAAAAAACTTTATTTTTTTAATTTTAGTTTTTGGGTTACTGATTATCTTATTTAGTGTGTGTGTGTGTGTGTGTGTGTGTGTGTGTGTGTACCCTCATGCACATGCATGCCATGGCATGTATGTAACCTGAAAACAACTTTCAGGAGTCGGTCTCTCCTTCCAGCATGTAGGTTCTGGGGCTTGAACTCAGGCTTGGTGACAAGCACCTTTATCCACAGAGCCAACTCACCAGCTCTAGCTGCTTTGTTGTTTGTCTGTCTGTTTGTTTTTTGTTTCCATGAAGGGTTCTTCTAGGTAGCCCAGGTTGGACTAGAACTTTCATAGCCCAGGGTAGCTATGAACTCATGATCCTTTTGCCTCAGCCTCCCAAGGACTGTGACTCTAACCATACCCCAGCTGTCTGAAAACATAACCTTCTACACTGGACTTTTCTTACCCTATGATAAACATTCAAGAAGGCATAAGTTTTCAAAGAAAATGGGGAAGAAATCAGACTTTCAGCAACCCTGAAGAAAGGAGAACAGCTGTCCCTTGTCCTTGCCAGAGACCATTTCTCTGCATATAGGCATGTAGTTTTCTATTTACAACCTGTGTTCACGCTCTGTTGTGTTTGGAGTTTTGTAACTAAATACTCAAACAACTTTTTCGCCACATTCCAACAGATGATATACCACACAGCGTGTTAGACACATTTGTAAATGATTTCCAGTTTGGAGTTATATAGAATATTCTGGATGGGGGCAATCCACCTTCAATGTATGGTTGTGCATATAGACAGTAATTGAAAAGCTGATTTCAGGACAGTCCCCCCATATACTAAAATCTGATGTTCAAGCCCCTAATATAAAATGGCACAACATTTGCAAGTAATCTGCAGACATCTGTATACTTTCGAGTCAATCATCTCCAGGTGCCTTCCAAGATCTACTACATGATGCTTACTGGCAGCTACACAGTATTGTTCAGGGGACAGGGATGGGAAAGTTATATACATAGTCAATGTGTCCAGAAAGCATGCATACATGCTCAGCATGACAGGAGAGTGCGTGCACATGCTCAGTGTGACAGCAGAGTGCATGTACGTGCTCAGCATGACAGGAGAGTGCGTGCACATGCTCAGTGTGACAGGAGTGTGTGTGCACGTGCTCAGTGTGATGAGAGAGTGCGTGCACGTGCTCAGCGTGACAGGAGAGTGCGTGCACGTGCTCAGTGTGACAGCAGAGTGCGTGCACGTGCTCAGTGTGACAGGAGAGTGCGTGCACGTGCTCAGTGTGACAGGAGTGTGTGTGCACATGCTCAGAGTAACAAGAGAGTGTGTGCACGTGCTTGGTGTGACAGGAGAGTGTGTGCACGTGCTCAGTGTGACAGGAGTGTGTGTGCACATGCTCAGTGCAGGGATGCATGTTTCCATCCATGACCAGCTAACACCACAAGTTAGGAGCCCAAGGATACAGAAAACTGACTATGGACCTGACTGTGTTGATCGCTTTCCTGGGTGAGAGACTATTGAGTGAAAGAAATGGAAAATGTTAGAGTTTCTCTCTGGAGATTTCTGCATGGCTTTTCCAAGTCTGTAGCACTGACATTGTGGGACACGTAAGAGTAACATGTCCTTAGGACAGGCCTATTAAATATTACCTATGCACCAATGCCAACGTCATTCATGGTTCCATATGATTTACATGCTATGTAGCCTTATTTATCATAATTTCTTACACAACAACCTTGCCAAGCAGATATCCCTATTTGAGGGAGGGATCAAGTATAGAAAAACTTGTGCACAGCTACAAACCAACTGAGTGATTGGGGCAAGGACCTGAACTCACCACACGCCTGCTGCACCACCTCCCCCTTGTCTTTTGGCCATAGCTCTCCATTACATAACACTGATGATCACTGTAATATCCATCCCTAAAAGAGTTTGAATGCCTTTGTCCAAAAGTGCAGTGGCATTTCATTTGTTTTTTCAATAAATAAAGTTTGCCAGAAGATCAGAAAAGAAAAACAGCCACACTGGCCAGCCTTACAGACCAGGCAGCAATGACACACACCTTTAATCCCAGTAGCCACACTAGCTTGCCACAGAAACCAGGCGGTAGTGGTGCATGCCTTAATCCCAGAACTAGAGAGGAACATAAGATGGGAGGAGACAGCTCTCATTCACAGTCTCATTCTGAGGTTTCCTGCAGGCAGGATGGCCATTTTTGGGCTGAGGTCAAGGTAAGAGTCAGTGACTGGCTGCGATGCTTCTCTGATCTTCAAGTTGAACCTCAATATCTGCCTCTGAGTTTTTATTAACCGTGTTTCACAAAAAAAAAAAAAACCAAAAAAACAAAAAGAAAACTGTTCAGTAAAACTATTTCTACAACATCCAAATTGGTGGTACCCTTTCTACCAAAAATCGATAGCTACTAAGTTAGGCTTAGTATGATGCTAAGCGTGTGACATGAATTAACATGGATTGTTAGGAACACCCTCAGTTTATAGGCTAGGAAACTGAGGCACAGCATTAGAAGCTATTTGCACAAGGTTATACAGCCAGCCAGTTGGTGGAAGACCCAGGTTAAAATGGGTCGGTTTAGCTCTAACCACGACACTGTACTGGTACAAGGTGAAATATTGTTTTCTCTGTAATAGAATCGAGAGGCCTTCAAAACGTACATTAAAAGAAAAAAACAATTGTATTGGGTTGTGAGGCAGCTCAGTGGGCAAAGTGTCTGCTGTGTAAGCACGGGACCTAGGTTCAGATCCTCAGCGCTGCCACAAAAAAACCAGACATGGCAGTTCATGCTTGTGAGCCACTGCTGGGGAGGCAGAGAGGAGGGGCCCAAGGGCTCATTGATCAGTCGGTCCAGCAGGATCACTGAGTTCTATGTTCAAAGATGAAGTGGAAGGGTAGGAAAGATGGCGCAACAGTTAAAGAGATCTTGCTACTGTTCCAGAAGACCCCAGTTTGGTTCCCAGCACCCTCAGGAGACTCAGTCACCTGCAACTCTAGCTCCAGGAGTCCTAACTTTGTCTTCTGGCTTTTTTTCTGAGGCATCCAAACACACGAGAGAGATGCTCACACGGAAACACACAAGCACATATAAACAAACAAACAAACCAATCAAAGTAGTGTGGCAGCAACAGAGGAGACGCAGGACGTCAGGTGACTGCCCACCCACCAACCCCGCCAGCGCACCTTGGGGGTCATGCTGTTGGTGATGCAGAAGGCCAGGTGCTGCAGGATGCTCTCCATGCTGTGGTAGTGCTGCTGCCGCGTGGTGCGCAGGTACTTCTGCAGCGCCCTGGCCATGGAGGGGAAGATGGCCTGAGCTGCCTCCCTGGGGTCCATCACCTCTCCTGGAGACTTCTGCTGCTCCTCAGCCTGGAGACGCTGGATGTGGATGAAGGCTTCCTCTACCGCCACTACCAATCTGGAAGGAGATGCGGCGCAGTCATCAAGGTAGAGCCCACTGCAGGGTTTAGGGACAGTCCCCTAACACCCCAAGGGCCTCTTGTGCCTACCACCAACTTCTCCAAGGTTCTGTCACACTGCTCATCCCTAGCTGTCCTTCAGTGGATGGGAAGAGACCAGGAGAAAGAAAACTAACAGGAGAAACAAGGTTGGAGGGGCCGGGGTGAGGGTAGGGGTGGTGATGGTGATGTGATGGTAGTGGTGGTCCCTGGGGCTTCTCAATTCTGCCAGTAATGAGCTCAGAAAATTCACTTTAACCTATGCTTTAATTTTTCCAATAGAAGGTGAGATAGGAAGGCTTCTGCTCAAACTCCGTCTAGGAAGAGGAAATGGGTATACAGAAGCAGCTGATAGAGAACCAGAGCTCAGGAAGCTCCTGTGGGTGGAGTGTTTGCCCAGGACCACAAGACCTAGGAGAGATCCCCAGCACCTCATGTGGTTAGGCATTCCTGTAAGCCAGCGCTCAGGAGGTGGAGGCCGGGTGAGAAGTCAGACTGACAAGATGGCTCAGGGTAAAGGCTGAACTTGTGGTGGAAATAACCAATTCCCCCAAAATTGTCCTGATCTTCACACGTATACTGTGGCATAAATGTACAAGTACATGGACACATGGGTATACACACACACACACACACACTCACTCACTCACAAATAGATACATACTTTAAAAAAGGTTTTAAAAAATAAGTTCAATGTTATCCTCAGATACACAGAGAGTTCAAAGCCTGGATGACAAAAACAGAAAAGAAACCAGAGCTTGGGCCCCCTTGCTCCACCCTCCCTCCCACCCCAGCAGCTCAGGAAAAGAAAGAATGGGGCAGCAGGCATAAGGGAAGTCACCTTTGTCACCTTCAATTAACAGGGGAAACAGTGTGGGTGGGGCTGGCACCCTCCAAGGGCAGCGGCAGAAAAGGCCCTGGGAATCTGCGCTAGCTGCAAATTCCTGAACCCAATCCTAGACCCTCAGACCGTGCAGGAGGCTATGTGAGTGGACCCAGAACCTGGGACGGGCATTAGAGGTACGTCTGGCCGGTGGTGATTACCCCCACACAAAATCTGAGAAACACAAGAGTACAGTGGACTGTCAGCAGGCACGCAGGTCATGTTTGCAAACAGAAAATTAACCCTGGAGGTGAAAATAAACTATTCCACCAGAGGGGCCAGGCGCGTGAGAGTCACAAACCTTGCTCTCCGCTTCTTCACCCGCCGCTCATGTTCAGCCTCCTCATAATACAGCTCATTGTGGCTGGAGTCCCTGCGGCGGGCCGCTGCAGCAATCATGGCTCGGGACTGACCAGAGGCATTGTTGCTGGGCCCTTGGATGAAAGGAGAATGGCGGGAAAGCTTTAACATCAAAGGCCAGGAAATGGAACAGAAAAAGAGTACCAGGGTACTCTCCCACCCGCCCCCTGTGGAGCACACGGGGATGCTAAAAGTAACTTCCCCTGGGCACCGTACTCCATAGTCACAGCAGCCCAGAAACCTAACCCCAGTCTGATGGGGAAATGGAAAAGGAACTCTGAAGTGGCTGCAGGAGGCTCAGCACTGAGAACGTTGGCCAAGAACAACACCCGCCAGAGCGTGCCGAAGATGATGTCACTTACCATCTGCGACATAAAGTTTCAGTTTGGCCATAAGGGCAGCTGGGACATCACATGCAGCAGACAATGAGAGAGAATGAGCAGGGTGGGAGAACAAGGACAGACAGAGAAAAAAAAGAGAGTCAAAGGGCACGTACAGTGACCACACACAGGAAACACGCTAAGCCGGGGTGCGGCCTTCACAGTCGTCACCCCAGACACCAGGGACTAGCGACCACAAAATGCCCCATCTGTGAATGTCACTGTGAGCGCTATAGGAGAGATGTGGCAGGACCTCAGTTTCTTCTGGGTGACTTGCTACGGAGGATTTGGTCTCACTGAGTTTTCCCATGAGGCGAAGCTTACACTTTATATATATATATAGAGAGAGAGCGAGAGAGGTTGCCAGCACCAAAGCTGCTATGTTTGTAAATCAGCTGAGTGGCTGACAACTCAGCTGATTCTCTTCTGGAGTCTGCAAAGCCCTTGTCTTATCCTGGGTGCCCAGCGAGAAATGACACGAAGGGAGTCCAGTTTCTCACACTTAAGCACTTGACACCCTGAATGAAGCTGGGCTCCGACTCCTCAAGGCTGGCTCCAGCTTCTCGTCACCATTCAACTCCTGCTCCTAGCCAGGACTGAGAAGCCTGAGAGGAGCTCCCAGGTGCCTGAACTGCTGACATGTCTCAGCCTCACGCTTTTGGAGGAGCATTCTGGTCTTTGGGTAAGCTGCTCCGATTTGGAAAAGCAGCCCTTTCTCAATCTAAGATGCTCCCAGCAGGAGGCAGGAAACACAACTACAGTTTCCAATACCAAAATCCCCAAATGCATGAACTTGCCATATATGTAGACCGTGAACTGACATTCTCCTGGAAAGCATGTTTGCCTACAAGTGAAATAAAACAGAAACTGTTCTGAAGTGAGGAAGCCCACAAGGCAAGCGCAGAGCACGGGAAGAGGCAAATGTACCATGAACTTTAGGTGACGAAGGTGCCTAACTGTGGCCTTCACACCTCATGCATGGTTTCAAGCACATACCATCTACATTGTAGACTTTCAGGCCAGCCATGTGCTTAGCTGCTCGGAATTTGGACGCCGTTAGAAGGTTGGGGTTGTAGATGGTGAAGTCCTTGTAGTAATTCTCCAGAACCACCAAGGCTGCTCTCTGGATGCTGTAAAAGCAAGGGCAAAAATTAACGCACAAGGTTGTCATGGAATACCACCGGTCTGCAATGAGAAGTCCTCCATGTCAGGTCGGTAACTGCAAGGCAGGGTAACCTCCCACAGAAGTCTGCTGGCTGCACTCCTCACACGGTCCAGTTAAGTGGCTTCCTTCCCTCTCCTGGGCTCCTTCATTCCCCATATCCCATCCAGCCAGTGGTTGGAAGAGAAAAGCGTTACAACCCGAAACTGAGATCTAGGGTTAATGTATACAGAACTTTCTCTGCTTGTCCTTAGTTTACAAAGGAAAAAAGAAAATTGAGAGCCTCCCACCCAAAGGTAGGAGGTGTGAAGGTGGTCACAGGGCTCATGAACGAAAGAAAGGTCACGGTTTCTGAGGCCCTCGCTAATGCTAGGTTTCACACACAGATTACAGTGACGGTCTTCCTATGAAGCAGAGTCGGCTTGAAATGAGGCTTCAGATAAGACTGTCTGGTCAGAAGATCCTTGGAGCCCCTGCCCTTGCCATCTTGGTCATTCAGCAGATGATAGCCCTAAGCTGCCATTTTGGAGCCTGGAGATCACACCCACACCCAGGACTAAGGGTGCATTCTGGGAGCTATTTCAGAGAGACCACCCAGCAGTGCTGCAGGAAGGGCCTACATCCAGCCCATCTCATCTCATGATCACTCTAGGCAAGAAAAAAAGGTCCAGAAACCCATGAGCCACACAATGGCATGGCATGCGCTGTAGTCCGACTAGGACCTGGTGCAGACTAACAACCTAGATGCTGGCTCTTCACCCTATGCTATGTGTTCTGATGCCTGCAGCTTCTAAAGACATTCACCAACCTCAGCGTGGTAAACACCACAGCTCTGTTTTGTCTTGCCCTCTTGAGTCTTCTTCCCAACACTCTAAGATGATTGGCTTATAAGGATTATTTACAATAGCCAGAACCCCAGGACAGGGACAGTCTTGGATTCCTGGACAACGATGTGGCATTCCCGTGCTCTCAGAATGGCTCAGAGACCTTCACTTCATTCTGACCGTGCAACCCTTAACTAACCAGCTGAAGCTCTTGTGTGTCCCCCTCTCACACACACTCCCTTTGGAACTCTGCTTTAAGAACTGAACACAGGCTGGGATGAGGCTCAGTTAGACTGTTGTCCTCTGGACTGCACTGGCCGAACAGGCACTAGGACAGTGTGGGATGCAAAAGTAACTTCCCCAAGGCCCTTGATTGGCAGGGATTCAGTGCAGATCTTCACGTATTTCTGAGCTCTGTTCAGTGTGGCTTCCATCTCTGCCCCGCCCTCCTCTGTGACTTTCTTCAGAAAGGGGCAGGGGTTCCTTCACCCGCACGGGACCCAAAGGTATATCCTCCTCCATTACACGCGTGCTTCCCTGAACACTGCTGCTACTTTTCTGCCTCTGCCCACACTAATTTCCCAGAACCTCTGGGCCTAAGGCAAGACAAAGGTCCTAAGCATGAAAATAAGTCTTAGTTATATACAGACACACCAGTTCAAACCAGTTCATCCTGTGCTTCTATACCAGCAAGAGTATCTCTAGGTGCCTGGATTATAGCAGAAGATTCTTCCATAATCAAAAGTTAAGAACTGGTGTGGAGGGATTGAGAGATGGCTTAGCTATCAAGCACCGGCTGTTCTCGTAGAGGCCGCAGGCTCAGCCCTCAGCCTCCATATGGCAGTTTAAAGCACCTGTAACTGACATTTCAGGGGATCCAATACCCTTCTGGTGTCTGTGGGCTCCTGCCTGGATGTGGGGCACATAAACTCTGAAGGTTCATACATATTATAAATATGTAAATAAATAAATCCTTTTTTTTTTTTTAAAGAGTGAAGAATTTAAAGGCAGTTTCCAAAGTTCTCCCCAGGGCCATCTTCAAACCGTCTTGTGGTGGCCGCTGGGTTTTGATTTTTCATCCTGGCTACAAGCAGGGGTCCAGAGAATGCCATGGGCTCATGCACTGAGAACATGGTACTGTTGCTCAATGCCTTCGCCCCACAAATGCCATCTTTAGAAGTGGCTTTTGTCCTTGTCTCGCTCGAGCAGAGCACCCACCCTGTCACCTTCCAGCACGGCCAGGACAGGCTGAGGCAAGGCCCCTGGCTGCCAATGTTGGGGCACATCCCTAGGCAGCTGGTGTTGCGGGACAGAGGCCTGGTGCTTCCCACAGGGCCTCCGTCCCCCCAAGGCCGGAGGATCTCATCTCCTAAGAATCACAGAAGAGAAGAGCAGGCGTCCTGCTCCTTCTCCCACTCCGTCATCTCACAGAGGCACCAGGGTGACTCAGAGCCAGGCCAGGTCCTGGCCAGCTGCCCAGACTGACAAGCTAGTTCAGGAGCTGACTCACTCTCATGCCAAGTTTCTAAACTCCTCCAAGAGCTGTGCACGCTCTCGCCTACAGAGAACCATTTGTCTGGCATCGAACAATACAAGGGAGCGAGAATTCCCACAGAACTAAGACAATACATGACCAGTGTCCCCAACTTGAAGGGGGGTTGTCACTGTTTGGGTCAAACGCCAACGTTACTGTGTTTCATCTTTTTACAGAGTAAACCATGGTGCGACAGGCCTGAAGTCTTGTCGAGACCCGGGATGGTGATCCTCTGTGTTCACAGCTTAGCTGTGCTTCATACGTAACAGCTGGAGACTTGGGTCCAATCAGCAGCTAGAGACCGCCTGACCCCCATGCTCTGCTCCAGGCGACGGTAACCATCTAAGTACTCAGAACTCTACGGCTGATGTCATTTTCTACGCTCTCCCTTGTTGTTGGCTATCAAAGTCATTCCAATGGCTTAGAGGCTGGCTTACGTCATAGCCCTGCAAGACCAGGACACACAGTGCACCCATTCTTTTAGCCAATGTCAGTGTTCAGATAGCGTCCTTGCTTCTGTTTCTCTGTATCCTCCAACTATGGCACCACACAGGGCCAGAGCGGGCCTGGCCTCTTTCAGGAAGTCGTTCACAGTCTTTAGACCCCATGGCCTGTCCTTGGATTCAGAGTACCGCCAGCGCTACACAGACCGTTGTCAGGCTACACAGTCAGGCAATGCAATCTCTGGCTCTTTAACCGCTTCTTGCAGAAGGTCCTCACATGCAAGGGAGGCCTCCTTTATTTCTTCCACACATAACACTTGTAGGCTCAACTTGTTAATTTATGAAACCTTAGGATTCCCATAGGTTTAAGACTGGCCAAGAAGTATTTCCTAAAATCATTCAAGGCAAAGGGGGAATGAGAGATGCATGAAATCAAATCCTTCAAGGAACCCTGATTCCTAGTTGAGATCTTCTCTGGGGAGTGAGAAGGACAAGGAAAATCAGACTGGTGAGGAGCTTGGCATCACGCTGGCAGCGCCAGATTCAGAGAGAAAAGGCAATGAGCTGGCCAAGCCATCTTTAAGCAGGAAATCTGGGACACAAGTTGTGGGCACAACCCTACCATATTCCCAGAATTATAGGAATGAAAGCAATCTCTTTGTTCTCCCCAAAGTTCAATAATCAAACAAATCATAATTCATCTAGTCCAATATCCCAATCCATGAAACAATTCTATTGATAATACCCCAGACAACTCCTGTCTCTGGAGAGAATGAAAGAGGGAGGTCATATCATCTTAAATTATTTATTTCATTCATTTGTTTTTATCTTGAATAGGATGGGACTAATTGCCCAGAATATCTGGCTATGCCATGGGACATGGGCTCCAAAAGCTGGCAGATATGAAGTGTGTCCCTGGAGGGTGAATGAAATGAACTGGGCAGGCTGGGGAAGTTAGAAATTCCAGTGAGAGACCCTGAGGTGCTGGCGAAGGCTGACTTCAGGGAGAACCGCCTTCAGAGCTTCAAGGCTGGTGGGCAAATGCTGAATTCAGACTCTCTACAAGTTCACTCTGACTGACATTTAGGCCAGGGAAAATATTGGAGCTAGGGGATTTTGCCTTCTGTCTTTCCACTTGACTCGTCTGTTTAGTTTAGGCTTGATAAGATTTAATAAGATGATATAATTTAAAGTGTCTTGTCTAAGGCACATGCCTCGTAAATTATACCGCTGTGGCCATGAGTTTCTATATCCATGTGTGTGCTGGGGAAGCGGATCTGCCCCGTGTACATCCGTGCCAATTTCTCCCACCCAGGGGGGCTGCCTTTAGGATGAGCCGAAGTGGAGCCCTCTGAATAGCCTTCTCTGGAGAGAGGAACCACAAGCACACAAGGTTCCAGCGTGCTTTGACAAATCGCAGCCTCTTGACAGTACCTTCTACTTATTGGGAGGCAGCCATGACTCATAGGTGAAGAAAACACTGGCCTCCAAAGCAGAAAGTCGAGATTCCAGATCTGATCTTGTTTTTCTGTTACTTTCTAGACTGTTTCCTCTTGGCTTGTGATAGAGAGATAAAAAAACAACTACCTTATGAAGTCGTTGAGATGGACTGAAATCAGGCCTGTGAATGTGTTTATAAACCATAAAGCCTTATAAAAATAGTATCATATTATTGAAAATGGGTATAATCATCTTACAATAGGGAATAGGGTTGATTGGTTCGTGCCACTCCTGGGCATAAAAGTATGGTTCAACATCCATTCACACTGAATGACTTGTTAAGCTTTGTGTCTTAAATGCTCCCCTCAAAGACTATATCCTCAAGGCTCAGTTGCCAGCTTGGGGCACTGTGAGGACGAAACCCTGGAGGTAGAAAATTACAGAAGGAAGGTAGGTCACTAGGGGTGTGCTCTTGAAAGGGACACTGGGATCGTTAATTGGTCCTGTCTCTCTTGCTTCCTGGTTGAGCAGCTGGCTGGGGTATATACTCTGCACCCCAAAGCTCGGCCTGTTAAAGCACTGGGGCCAAGTGAGCAAAGACAAAACAAACAAATGAAACCTGAAATTGTGAGCAGAGCCCAAATAAGTCATTCCTCCTCAAAAACTAACCATTTCAGGTATTTGGCCTCAGCAATAGAAAACTGACCAACATACTCCTAGAATTCTA